AACAATACAGAGAAATCCTGTCTCGAAAAACCAAACCAAACAAACAGAAATGTCTTTTTCTTTGCTTTTCCACTGTGTCCCTCCTCGCCTAGGTCATCTAGTTCCCTCCTGCTGTCATTCCCCTTCCCCTTCTCCTTACCGCCCCCCCTCCCCCGCGCCCGTGCCCCATTTGCCCTGTAGATGTCACCTCTTTTCTCTTCCCAGGCTTCTCATGGGAGCCCTTAGCAGTGAGGAGTGGACCTGGGGGGAGGTGAGGAAGGGTGGGAGGAGGTGATGGTGGATGAGAGGGGGAACGGTGGTGGGAATGTAAAGTGGAATCGAAAACGAAGAAATGGAAAGAAAATAACACCAGCAAATTATCAGTGAACAGTATGACAAGGCAAGGGAGTAGTTGAGAGTGGTGTCTTAACCCCACCCCCACCCCCTTTATTCACTGCATAAAGAGATTTTGGAGTTGGGATACGATGGTGGCTTGCACAGATGGAAGACCACCTATATCCAAGAAGAAGCGTAAACGCTAAAGGGTAGGCAAGTCTTGGGTTGGCAAGTATATAGGAGAGAAAGGAAACAAGAATAAATGCAGAGGACACGGGCATAGTAATATCCTCAGTCCCTTACTAAGAAGTTCACATTACATGTTATAGGAACCTCCCAAGGGAGGCTCCTTAGAGAATTCTTTCACGTGATCTGAGAGCTATATTGACTGAGAAGACCAAGTGATCATTGCTCTGCATTATTTGGGCTGAAGTGCCCTTCCCAGGGGCTGACTACAATGGTGTGAGCATTACTGTCAGTCTTCTGGCCTTCTTCAAAAAGGTGGATGGATGGAAGAAGCATCCATTTCCTTCCCAGGGCTGCAGAGTCCACCATCTGCAAGGAATTTACCTCCTGTGTGGAGTCTATTGAGTTTTTGAAGTAAATCACCCAGTCAAGAGATGGGATAGTTTGAACTGTGTGTCTCTCGAGTTCAGAATGACTCTGAGAGCATAGCAAGTAGTGGGAGGAAATTAAAAGTCTCTGAAAGCCAGTCGGATAAATATTGGTGAAATAGGAAATAGCACTCTCATTGACTGAGTGAAACGTTTGATTTTTTTTTCTGATCACTTGGAATGCACAATTTACCATTAGGTGGAAAGAGAAAGGAAAATAAACAGTCATTGGCTGCATGCTATAGCAAGCACTTGGTCCCATTTAGTGGGGGAAATGCTTTATCTTGACAGAGAATTACATGTCAAACATACATACAATTTCCGTAAAATGAACCACGCTATCTCGCACTTCCTTCCAGAAAGCAGAGTAGCTTAAGGGGAAAGTGGCTGTTTACTTTTTGACATAGTGTGGTTCTTCTTTCAGATGAAGCGTGTTATCTGCCTTTTGAAAAGTCGTAATTTCTATTAAAAAATAAAGGAGGGGGGTTGAAGAGTGGAGAGCTGAGCTAGTGATAACAAAATTAAAAACTACAGTTGTTGACCTCATCCAGGAACTGTTTATAAACCACATCTTCTGAGGGAGATTTGGAGCTTTGTGCTTCTCTTTTAGAATTAGTTTCTACTTCAGAAACCTCGTGAACTATATGCAAAGTGATATCTCTTGGTTCGAGCTAGGACTGGGCTTTTCTACAATAAAATGGCTGTTTTTGTTTTTTTTTTTTAAAGAGTTCCCTTTATGTTCCAACATAACAATGAAAAGACTCCATTCCTGGTTCCCTGGTACTCCTATAGCTTGCTCAGTCCAGGCAGTGAAGCACAAATAGTATGTCTAGAGCCTCAACTGATCATTTCTTGGACTCAATCACACACAAATCAAATTCTATAGCTATTTTATGAATCTAGGTTCCACTGTGGCACACACATTAGTTAGGCATAGGACTTGACACCTATAATGACTCCAAGAGAAAAAGTCTTCATTAGTGTTATGTAACAATTCAACGGGTAAACATCTTATGACTTGTAGGGTAAAATGTGAGACACATTACACTATACACCCTTAGCTTTAAATACATACATTTTAGCATAAGATTTTTCTCAAAGTCAACTACAAAATATCTTTAAAACCCTAGTAATCCATAAAAACTTTAAGGCATGACAGAATGGCTGAGTGAGTAAGGAATTTAGTGTATAATCCCTTTTACCTGACTTCAATCCCTTGATCCCACAGTGACAGAGAGAACTGGTGTTTGAGGGTTATTGTCTGAACTGTGCACACATGCTGTAGCGCACACACACACACACATGCACTTGTGCATACCCACTCAACCAAACACACACTAATAATAACAAAATAACAACAGTGATTAAGCATTTCAGCTCCTTATAAAAATTTGATGTATTTTACGTGAATCTATATTACTATTTAAGTATTAATATTATGATTGCACATCAGAATGAGTTCTTTAATAACCATGAACATGAGCCTAAATTCAGCTTTAGGTAGAAGAAATGCAGTTGTGAAAAGAAGTATAGCCAGATATTTAACCTTGTAGACACACATACACACAGCAATTCTCAACCATAATTAACTCTCAAACGCCAAATGTCAAGGTTTGATGTTCCCTTCAGGGTTTCTTGGAGCAGCTATAGGGTATGCCATCCGGAGGGCAGTACAGAGTGGCACAGATAGAAAAATCAGAACCTGGGACATCAGGTTTAGGTCTAGCACGGCTGCCAGGTAATTTAATATAAAATACCACACATCTAAGTGCTTGCCCGGTGTCCTAGACCATCTGACCCTCTTTGTGGTTTGAATCAGTCTATTCCCTGTCTTCCCCTAAAGCCTCAGGAAGCCCTGTGAACACATTGGAGTCCCACATACAGCCTGAATGAACAGTCAAGAACTCAGGTTTATTATATCACAAGTGTAGGCAGTGAAGTGACAGTCACATGGTGACCATCAGCCCTTACTTTCTTTAAAACCTTGAAGACTTCCTGGTGTCCCAGCGTTCAGAAGCATCTGGCACCGACTCTCGGTGCGTACAGCGTTGCCTGGGGACTTTCATTCCATTTTAATAGATTTTTTTTTTCTGAAATCAGTTATTTGTCCACTCATAACGGAGCATAAAAATATGCCTTTTAAGCTTTCCCACATGTGGGGAAAGGCTCTCGTGTAAAATCAATACAGTTCTGCCAGGCTGAAAGCATTACATGGGAAATTAACACACATGAAACCTGAAATGTCTCTGCTAATGAAGTGACCTTCTGAACAAATGGCAGGGGTCACACAGCATTCATAACTGCCTGTAGGGTTCCCGAAGAGAAAACACGGAAAAAGGAGTTTATGAAAAATGACTGATTACTTCATTAAACAAAGTTACAGCTCCGCTTTAAATTTTAGCTAAATATTTTTGTTCTACTCTTATTTCCATATCGGATAAGTGAATATACATTAATATGAAATAACTCATGTGAAAAATCTAGAGGGCCATTGGAGGACGTACTCAGATAAACCAACCAAACTACACTAGACCTATGTGGCATGCTAATTTCATATTAAAAACCACGCCACGATACTAGAGGTCCTCCTGTAGCGCTGCTTAAACACGGAGCCTCATGCATGCAAGACTGCTTCCCAGGCACTGAGCTGTGTCTCCCAACCCTAGGCCCAGCTCCAGGGACCTCTTATTCCTAATCCCATTAGCTTTTGAAGTTGTGGATCATCTCAGATGCACATTTCTGATGAGAATTCCCGTCTCATGGTCAATTCTGCTGCCTGGGGCTCCCTTTTATCCTCAAGTCCACATCCGTCACGTCCGCCTCTTACCACTTCTCTGGGTGGCCTGCTTCCGTGAGAGAAGCCCACGTGACTTCAGAACTAAGGCCTGTGTGGGACTCTGCAGTTGAGAACTGCTGTTATGGGGTGTCTATGTCAGATGGTCTGTTGGAGTTTCATGTCAGCTTGGCCTGACACCAGAAGCCAGCAAAGCACAGCCGCGTCGGTCATCAGTGTAGTCACTGAGCATTGCCACTTACAAGTTTTAATGAGATTAAATCGCATCATTGATCCTCGGTTTACGTGAATAATATACCCCCAAACTTCTTGTGGGATGTCTACGGGGATGGAATGAAACACCCAAGTAAAGCAGTTGATTTGATTATGATTATTATAGCACTAGTGTGGAAATATATGAGTTTAAAAATTATATAATATGTAATCTTAATATTTCAGATAAAGGTTAAACAGTTCATTGTTTCAAAATATACCAATTGAGATGATAACGTAGTAAGTAAATAATATTCAGATTTGAATTACCTTATGCTGATGTCAGAGACACTGTGTGAAAAAAATATTAGCTAAATTAATTCAGACTTCGTATTAAGAGCATTTATGATCTATACATATAGATATATCCAGTTTTCAGTAGGCTAAATTTTTAACACAAGCTGCTAATCCACAGATATTTACCTTTGAATGTGCATTTTAGACATGACAAATATACCATACGACTTCTAAGAATAAAGGGAACCCAGAAAAACAAATAACCTGGCCTCATAGGAGCTCACAGACTCTGCACGACAGCTGGGGTCTTGCATGGAACCGACCTACCTCTACATGTGTGTGACAGCTGTGTTATTTGGTATATTTGTGGGACCCCTAGCAGTGGGATCAGGGCCTGTGCCTAATGCTTGAGCTGGCTTGTGGGAACCCATGCCCCTTACTTGGTTGCCTTGCCCAGCCTTGATGCAGGGGGAAAGGTATCATCTTAACCTCAGCTTTATATGCCAAGCTTTGTTGACACCCTTTTCTGAACAGCAACAGGAGGAGTGGATGGGGGGAGGGAGCAGGAGGAGAGGAAGGAGGGGAAACAGCAGTTAGGATATAAAATGAATGGAAAAAAATTAATAGGAAATTTCAATGTATTCTTGTATCTTTGCATATTTGTGCATATACTATAGCATCACTGGCAAGGATCTTTCATCTTCTTGTCTACATCTACAAAATACTGAACTGTGGATTTCCTGTAAACTGTACATTTGTTTCCCACCCTTGTTAATGCAAAGAAGTACCTTTTCCTCTTCTGAAAGTCCCTGTAAGTTATTTCCATTTCTGGGGAATGTCTTCAAAGTGGGCTTTCCTTAAGATGTCCCCACACCTGGCCGGGAAGCAGAGGCTCAAATCAATCACGTTGGGAGCATGCTTGGCTCCTGTCAAGTTTGCCATTTTTACTTCTCCTTATGCTCGCTGAACCTCAGTGACCTGTTGAAATCACAGATTTAGGTCAATTCCAAATGCGGTGATCTCCCTAATGATGTTGGCTCAGAAAATTCCACCGAACAGATAATGTTATCCATGTGTAATCTAATATTTGCAAAACTGGAAAAGCTTTGAACCATTCGCCACACAGCAGTCTTCAAAATGAAATGCCATTGATTTCTTGTAGCAAGTTATTATGAGGTGGCTAGGAGGAAGAGGCAGTGTGTTGCCTTGTCTCTGGAGCGGGGCTAATGGCACTCCGTGTTCTCTAGGGTGGCTGAGATTAAGAATTAATAAGCCCACATTCCAGGAAGTTTTCTCTCGAAGGTTCATCTGAATTGAAGTGACCCTCTGCCTCAGCTTTCATGACCCTTCTTCCCTGATGTCAGCTGGGTGGTGGGCATACCATCTGGGCTGGTAGCACTTGGTCAAATGAAGAGAATCGCAAGAAACCATCAACAGTTGCTCGTCTCCGCTCCCAGTTGCTTGCTGGCTGTCACGCCTGGTGACAGACAGACATGCACCTGCTCATGTTCCTCTTCTTCCCTTTAGATGACAAAGATGGGGCTGTACAGATAAGGTTAAGTGAAAAGAATGAGTAATGCCTCTTTCCCAAGACTTTCTAGATTTATTGCTGATATCTGCCTGAGCGAAGGCTTTGAACTGACATGCCTGGCTCTTAAACTTTACCTCCGGTAAGCTGTTCCGCAGGTTTTATTATTTTAAGTGTTATCTCTTGGAGGCAGCCTTCCTGAGTCTGCTTGGCAGATGGAGTGCATTCTCGCCGAGAGCCCTCAATGCACTTGACATATGTCTTTAGGATAACAATGATTTGCATTCTCTTTTTTTGATACTCTGTTTACACTGGTAATACTATAGCCCTAGAAGGCTCTTGCCAGCCATCTTGTGACCAGGTAGAGAACCAACAAATGTGACTCATGAGGAAGATAAAGGAACACATTTCTGGTCACACTGTTGGAAACCTGATCATGTCTTATGCCAGTGTGAGCTGACTTTTATGCTGTTGAGAAACTGTCATTAGATGTAACTATTGTGAACGATCTACTGCTATAATAGATCTCTCTGCCCTCAGGCTGGAATCTCGTTAAGGGCATTTTTGACAGTCCTTATGTCTGTATCTTTATTGCCTAGACAAAATTTTACATGTAGGAGGTGTTGAATCACTATGCGTTGAATTTATTAATTAATAAGAAAAGACTAGAAGTAGAAAAAATAATTATAAAATCCATTGGCTAATTGCTTTATTACTACTACTATTATTATTACTCATGACTGCTAATTTTTCACTGATGATCACCAGAAGAAGAAAGAGATCAGTAAGAGAAAATGGCGTTTCACAGACTGGCTAGCCTAAGGTATATAAAAACTAAAGATGAATAGGAATAAGAAGCATGAAATCAAGAGGAAAGAAAATAGGAAGTTAAAGAGTGTTCTTATATTGTAACCATCTCTGTAGGACTCTGAAGCCATGATAGATAATGTGGAATGGTAAATATCAACAATGGAATGCTGGTGTGCATCGAAGTGTATGTGGCATGCAAATGAACCAATAAGGAAGAAGTAGCCAATGAGCTTAGAGAAAGAGAAAGGGGGTTGTAAGAATTCAGCGAGAAAGGTGAGGGAAAGAGAGAAAACAGTGAGTTCTGATAAACAAAGGACTGGCAAGAAGGACACAGGCTATGTTGCTTGGATCCTCTTAGAAATCCAAGTGGTTATAAATAGGTTGTGTATAAGGAGTGACAGAAGACCAGAGTGAAATGCAGTCTTTAAACAAAAAAGTGTGAAATTTGAGATACACTGTGCAGAAAATGGGACTCAGAGGAAAGAAAGATAACCCCATTGGAAACTAAAGATTAGGAGAGGAAAAGATAATAGTCAAAGAAGTACCTTCGGGTACAGTGGTCAACGTTTCAATTCATGCTTTCACTTCAGTCTGCTTTTACATGACGTTTCAAGTCTTTAAAAGATAGACAAAGACCTTAGACCTTGAGCCAGTTTCTAAGTCTTTCCGCAGCTCTGGCTGACTGATGTCTTTTAGAGCCTCTTCTATAGATTATCCTGTGTCCTGTTGTTATTTATCACGCTCCTCCAGGCTCACTGGCCTAATTAAATATCCTCTCTGAACAGTCTGTCACTGTTCACGACACTTGTGAAGTTCAGCAAATTCATCTTCTTTGATTGTCTTTCTGAGCTTTAAAATATTCACCACTTATCCATGCAGGATGCTGAATTTCACAACACACTGGTACTTAGCAGTGAAGTTATGCAAACATTAACAAATTATATATTGTCTATGCATCACGATATTATCATTTAATATTGAATAATCTTTGAATCTTTACTATTAGACAAAGCTTATGGCATATTATGAAATTACTTCCTTCATTACAGCTGTGTCAATGAATGCAATAAGGCAGTTAAGTTTTTTAAGAAGTCAAATCAATAAAATCTTACAAATGACCAGGTACGTTTAGCTTCCCTGGAGTTAGTAAGCTTCAGGGTTGGAACTTGAGGGGAGAATGACCACAGCAACTCCAGCCCTGTGGACTTCTATGTTCTGGTCTTATTTAAGTCAGAAAAGTGAATGGGAATGTAACTTTTCTATTATCAGTATTTTCACCATTATTGCATCAATAGTAATAACTACTGTTTCTACAGTGTCATCATGCTCCATTCTGTTTTGTTTGTGATTGACATACCGACCTCAGAAATATTTATGATTACTTCACATTATAGATTGATTTTTAACAAACATCCTGGAATTCAAACTACCTTTAGAGATGGACTCTCTTTTAAACCACACTATAAAATAAAAATACTAGAGATAAGCTGTGGATGAATCTTCTAAATTAAATTCATTTTTTTTCAAGTTTTAACACTCTAAAATGTAGCCTAAAACAAAGTTTTAAAATTAAAACTGATAATTAATAATTTAGAGGAAGCACTTCAGTCTTTTGGGGAAAATGCATCATATGAAGAAAGGATCTGTCAGATTTCAAAAGAAAATGTTGATTCAAATGGATATCAAACCAAGTATCTATGTTACACATGTTACCACCACAACAAAAAAATTTATAGTCTAACCAAAGTATATTTTCCCACGCAGAGAATTTATAGCACTAATTGAGACAATACTGACACAAATTCCACAAAGGGAGATAATGACCAACCTTTCCCTTCTTCCTGTTTCTGAAAATGTGTGTGAACAGCCGTCTCTGACCACAGAAAGCCCCTTCCCTCACCCACATCTTCCTAAAGTGGAGAAGGAAAGGGCGTGCAGGAGGGAGGAAGGAGGGAGAGGAATGTGTTCCCCTAGAAACCGCAGGAAGTAGTGTGCTCTGTGTGAGAAACATTTTCTTCTTAGATAAATGACTTTCTTCTTCTCTCACCCTGAGAAGAAAAATGAGTTTCCCCAGTGGGCTCACCACATTTTCCTGTGTGTTTTTTTTTTCATCCTCTTATGCCATCATGAATTTCAGCTAGTACTTTTTTCCATTATTCCTATTCGGGGCACTTAGTGGAGATATTTTTCACCTTTACACATAAGAAGGGACCAAGTATTGAGTGTTTAAGGAACAATTGATTTTGAAAACTAACGGACCATGTAGTTATTCTAAGCAAAACCTAGCAAACTGTTTTGTTGGTTTGGGCCCAGTGTCATTAAAAATGGCTGTTCGGTAAGCATTTACCTATTTGTTTTAAATGGTTCTTTGCATACGTTTAACAAAAAAACACCTCTTCACTGTCGTATGAACCTTGCATTGCGTGTCCTTACTCTGTGTTGACTTTGTAGTTTGTGATAAGCAGTGCTTAAACATAACTTTGCAAAACCATTACCACAAGCATTAGTCCAATATAAAATGATGAACTCTACGCACTTTAATTTTTACATTATGGCAAAATGTCTGACACAACTACCTTAATTTCTCGAAACATAATCTAGCAGTTTAACAGCTTAAAATATTTACACTAACATAACTTATTCTACAAATATTAGATTGCCTATCACTTATAAAAGGATAACTGTTATTTAATTCCACTTAACTCAAGCCAGTATTTTATATCCTTTCCACACTTTTCAGATCTATTTAATAGCAGATACTCATGGTGGGTATTTGATGTTTTTATTATGTAGGAACACTGTGAATGAAAGTGACTGAAAATATAGTTATTATAAAATTTCTTAATTAGATGAAACCAATCATGAGATAATATGCATTTGTTAGAAAATGTTAAATCATTCATGTTTTATGCATCAGTACTTGTTAGCCAAGAGTTATTATATGGTCAGTTTGTATTTTGATTTCATTAATGAGAACTTTAAAATGAGTGAATCTCTTTTAATAAAATAAGACTTTTCTCATTGAAGAATTCATTATTAATTTGGGTTTCAATGGTATAATATCTCGCATGGTGAAAAGCACTTTTTGAAGAAAGAATTTAAACATCAAATGTAATATAGGTGTTTAAAGAACTAATTCTGTGGGTTTAGTCTGAAGAATTTCTAGACATTTTCTTAAAAACCAAATCCAAAGGTTTCAAAACAACTAGACTTTGAAAGTACAAAACAGTAGCCAGGCTCTGGTGGTGAACGCCTTTAATCCTGGCTCTCAGGAAGCAGAGGCAGGCAGAGCTCTGTGTTCTTGGCCAGTCTGGTCTATAGAATGAGTTCCAGAACATCCAGGGCTACATAGAGAGACCCTGGCCAGAAAAAAAAGTACTAAACAGTTTATAAGCCTATTTAGAAACCTAGAAAGAAAAATTAACTGTACTTTGTGTTTTATTTAATGTCCTGAAACTAAATCATCACACAGATAATACAAAATGAGTAAATTAATACTACTTGGAAATTAAAGTTTAGGAATAAGCTTAGAAATCCATCACCTTAAATTCTAAAAATCAAATAAATCCTGTAAATTTCATTAGAGTAATTTTCAACATGGTCCCAAGAGTGAAATAATGGCACAAGTATTATGGGGATAGCCAACTACATTCTGATTGCATTTAGTTGTCCAATACCGTAAATCTGTCCGACAATTCATGGTTGTGGAGTTCACAAGCCTCATGGGTGAACTGCTATTTGGATGCAAAATGGACATGGTTTCAATCTTCCCTCTGAACGCATTTCTCTAACTCATAGACTATTTCAGCTGTCCAACATTATCAGAGAAGTTTCTCTGTGCAGTACCTGGTGATTAATACAGAAACTCACGTTATTTTCTACACTTGTACGAGTTGGGTTTGTGGACTGCTCAGCTGTAAATGGGACATACATAACCACCCCTTTCACCAAGGCTCAGGAACCAATGCAAAAGAGAGGGTGAAATATTTATAAGTGGCAGAGGAGAGGTTAGGGCACACTGGAGCAACACACTGTCATCTGGGCACGACAGACCACTGTACTCATGAGCTCATGGCAGCTAGGATCGCCTGCACGAGACCTTCGTGAGATCAAGCCAGTCAAGACCCCTAGCATGGGGGAATCAGGGATCCACAAGCTCATACATGTAACTGAGGAGCTGTTGGTAGCTGATGACTTCTGAAGGAAGGAGTGTTAGTTTTCTTTAAGGGTGTGGACCTGTCAGGTCAATTGTGCTGCACTGGGTGGCCCCACCCTGAATAGTATAGAGGCATGAAGTATTGAACTGTGTGAATCATTAAAAAAGGACACAAAGTTGGCAAGGGTGGGGTGATCAACAAAAATGCACAATATGTATATAAGAATTAATGAGTACATTGTATTTTTAATGTTTTCACTTTTTTGTTTGGTTTTGGAGGGTTGGTTTGTTTCGTTTCTTGTTTTTTTTTTCATTTTTTTTGTTTCTTGTTTTTTGAGACAGGGTTTCTCTATACAACCCTAACTGCCCTGGCACTCACTCTGAGGACCAAGCTGGCCTTGAACTCACAGAGATCCTCCTGCCTTTGCCTCTTGAGTGCTGGGATTAAAGGTGTACACCACCACCACCCAGTACAGAAGGTATTTTTGTTTTTTGGTTTTTGTTGTTGTTGTTTGAAATTTTCACATTTTTTAACACTGGAGTTTGAGACATGACTCATTGGTAAATCATGTACCTGACATGTGACATTTCCAAAACTGTAATAAATAAACTTATTTCTGATAGACAGAGATGTTTTTTATAAATTTGATAGGAAACATAGACAAATATTGCTAACAATAGGTAGCATTACATAATTTGACAATGAAGATGAATTTTGAAGGACATAGAAACCCAAAGTAAAGAAATTAATGTAGGATTGCTAAGTAATTGGATATCGACTCACAGCTTTCTCTTATAACTCTTTTCAACTTACCAATTACTCAGTAGATAGTATATTTTCTTTTTTGGTATATGCAATATAGATACTGCATGAAGCCAGCAAAGACCTACTGTATTTGTAGTTGATTTAGGTGGTGATGATGCTGATATCCTTATTCATACATTATATTCTTTTATTTTGCAGTTTTGCTAAGGGGAGGAAAAAGGGAAGAGGAGAAACCATTTCGAGATTGTGCAGATGTATATCAAGCTGGTTTCAATAAGAGTGGAATCTACACTATTTATTTCAATAATATGCCGGAACCCAAAAAGGTAAAATCAGAAGTTCTGTTTATTCGATGTAAAGCAGATCCCAGTTGAACTGCTGTACAATCAAGTGCATTTGTCAGTTTGTTATACACGGTATGTGTTGGTGTACACATATGCACGTACGCATGTACAAACACACAAACCCACACGGCTCAACTGTACTTTTCTGTTCTCAGATCTCTGGTCCACAGAGCATGAAAACGCTATTATGCAGATGCCCTCTTACTTCTAATCTGTTAATCTTATAAATTATATTTTCTTCCATTTCTTGGACATCATAGTCCTCAAAAATGTTTGCTCACACAAGTTACATGCTGTTGCCACATTTACTTTCAGTTCATGGGAAAGCATTAGAGATCCTTATTGGTCCTGTTGAAGGATGAGAAATGTGCCCCATGTCAGCATACAATTGTGAAAGGATACTTGCTCGAGTGTAAGTTGGAAGAACGGACTCATCTTTATGTCTATCGGTGCCCAATGTAAACCTGGAAGCAACCAAGCAGTATCTTCCCATTCTTTTAGAGACTGCTCTGTCCTTGTCCATTAAATCATCCTTTTGTGCCTTCATGCAGTACAATTAATGAAATGGCATTCATTTGCCAGCACTGTCTAAACACAAACACGAAACAGTTCTGAGTATGCTAGAGATGACAGGCATTCACTAAAAGTCAGAGGACTACAGAGGTGTAGTGTTGGAGATGTCTCATTGAAGGGGGTGATGCAGGCACCTTTAGGCGAGGCAGTCAAAGAGTGCGGGACCAGAGACAATCGACCTACTACTAGCTCTCTAACACGGAAGGGCTTTCCTGGTTTTACAAGCCTGTTCTGGGATCAAACACTTTCCACAGCCCTCAACCACACCTGTGCATGCATCTTCATTTTCTTGAACCCTGTGAAAATGCTCTTGAGAGGCTTTCCTGGATTTCCCCCAAGAGGGTCGCACGACCTTTCTCTGACCAAGAGGTACAGCCGTGCCTTTTTGTTTCTGAGTTCCAAGGGCCAAGCGTGCCTTCTGCACATAGTAGGTCCTTAATACATCAGCACCAGAATGGACAGATGGGGAAAAGGATACACTGAGGATATAAGCATCGCCACAACTACCCGGCATCCACAAAGCCTAACTCTTTCTGATTTCCATGTCTTTTGATAAGCACGGGCCGGGTGGGGTGGTGAATCTATGAGACCAGTGTGTTAGATGCCATGCAATTACCAAGGCCGGGTGTCTGGCCCAGGTCCAGTCCAAGGTGGGACCTCTTTCTGCTACTGTCTCTTGATCCTCATTTGAATACGGAATACTGGGTAGAGTTGTCTCGCTATTTTTCTCTTTTCTTGAAAGAAAAGTCTCTTCTTAGAAGGAACCTTCAGTTGTGTTCTACAAATGGCCGTGGGGAAGGGGGGACAGGAAGGGTAAAGGTGACATGTCTAGTCGTCTGTACATCACCTCAGCCACTGACAAAAGCACTGTGATATCACCTGCTTTTCCTGGGGGGGGGGGGGGGTGCTGGGCATTAGTCTTTGGATTAAGGCATCTATGGCTTACAATAAAATAAGACAAAGAAAAAATACAAAAATATGAATATTCAAGGATGAGGTGAGAATAATGGATGGTAAGGAGGGGTTTTTGATATTCTAAAACTAAATCTACACACATTATACCAACAGCATGTTAATTACATGACACTTTGTTCTAGGGGAGGCAGGGGAGCTAAAATAATCATGCTTAATCTACCTGCAGCACTGAAGGAGACCAAAACAGACTCCTAAACATCTAGTTCTATCTTACAACTTAAAAGAAAATTAAAGGACTGTCATTTGGACTCCTGGAGATCGTGCTGTTTACATGAATACAAAACTCAAATAGTTTTCAAGCGTTCAGACTGGGAGGAAGTTGGGGGGAAAACGAGTCCTTATATTTGTTTTCACTTCATCACTCTTGTCACCGTGAAGTCCCCGAGGAAGGACAGTAGCACAGATAAGTGTCATTCTGTGAACTTCATTTCATACGATTCAGCTCCCTTCCAAACTGTCTTCTAAGCAAACGACACCCAGGCTGCACGCTAAACCACTGCTCCTGTTAGAGCAGAAGGAGTATTTTTTCCTAACCCATCAAGTGTACATTTCACATTTACTTAAGTCTCATCCAAATGATACTTGATATTACTAATTTAATCATTTAGGTTGCATGTATCGAAGTCTAACTTTGAAGCGCCACTTGATGCGAAACCTGCTATTTGTGGCTGTGTATTTTTAAAACACTCCTTTGAGGGGCTCAGTGTAAAAGTCAGCTACTGCATTAGATATGGTTTTCCAGCCTTTTCAGGGTATAAGTTAAAAGTATTCATAATTAGAAGCTTAAAGGAATATTTTTTTACTTCCCCCTAACAGGATTCTCTAACAAGTAGAAATATTGTTCTTTGGTTCAGACTGGCATAACTATACTTTTTTTTGACTGGCAATATGTCTTATTTGAAATACCTTATTATAATCACTTGACATGTCCTTGGAAAGAGCAAATATTTATGAATATCATCCAAGTAGTTTAGAAGCTCTTTAATAGAACAACACAAAATATTAATCATTAACAGTTTCCTAGACCAGGTCCTGAGCACTTGGCTTTTGTATGACACACTCACATTTCCTTTTCTCAAGGAGCTGTGTGCTTCTAATTTCAGAAAGATAATTTGCTCAAATTGTGTATGTGATAACTATTGAACATTGGCTTTGAAACCAAACAACTGTTTCCAGATTCAGCAGGGTTTTAAAAAGTTAATTATTTACTTTGGTGATAATTTTTTTAATATGAAATTATTGCCCCATGAAGAAAGCACATGTGTGACATGAGTAAGTTATTAAAATCTGCTTTCCTCCCTATATTTTATATGACTTCACTTTCCTTTTGATCCAAATCATTCACATTCTCCTAATTATTATATAAAAGACACTGTAAAAATGTATCATTAGACCATTGCAATTAGACTAGGGTATCATAAACAAAACAGTTGCTTCCACTCCTGAATATATGTAACAAAAGCTCATTTTTTCTTTTCTCTCTTTTTTTTTTTGTAACGTTCTCATGAGTTTATGGGAAGTTAAGGGAACGCAACTCTACAAAAGTAGCAATACTAATATTAAGTGTGCGTGATATGGAATATGAAGCAGTCAATAAAACTGGGGTGTTTAAGGCAACAGACAAAAGCAAATGACAGCAAGCACTCATCCTTTGGGAAGTGTAGAAACTTCAGTATACCGGAACTGTTTACTTATTTATTTTTATTTAACATACATGGTCTTCATATGCTATGTTTTGATCATGTTTCCCTTCCTCCGCTCCTTCCAGATTCTCTTACCTCCTCACCCACACCTAATGATGGAAAAATACAAGGCACCTATGCACACACACACACACATACACACAATGAGAAACCATGATATACAAGCAAAGGACCAGTAAAAAAAAAAAAAAATCCAGACATTGTGACAGGAGACAAAACCTCTACAAAAATGCCACAGAAAGCCTTTTGTGTTGGCATTCTACTTTGGGGCCCTTAACCATAGTTAATCTACGCAGTGAGACTGCATTGAAGAATTTTTCCTTTGCAAGTAAATGTCAATTAAGGACAATGTCTTTGTTAGGGATGGGAGCCCCTGTCTGTGTCTCCTTTGCTGGTCCTGTGCATGCTCCCAGTCTGTTTTGACTGATGTTGCTCTATGTCAAAAAAAAAAAGGAAAAGTATTGTTTCTCAAATGTCATGGGGAAGGCAAAAGTGTTAGCTTATGATGATTTAATTGTTCAAGCAGATAGAAAATGAGAATCCAAGGTTTTGTATCTCTTTTGTTTCATGGTGCTCATGGTTTGTGGTTATTTCCCTCTGTATTCCCTTCAAGGCACAGTAGAGAGAAACAGAACTCTTCATTTCACAAGTGTTTAAAGCCAAATGCCCTGTAGTCGGTTTGCTTCATCCAAAAACCAAACCATTAAATCGTTAAGTCTTAGTTTAAAATATTAAAAATTTGGTTCGGATCTCATGATTCCTCTAATTCTTGAAAAAGTACCATAACAAATGTGTTAAGCCTTTTCCATTTAAGGTTATGAAAAAATAGTTAATATCTAGAGGGTTAATCATTCCAATTTGTATAAAGCAGAGAAGCGTAAAAGGTATGTGAATCAAATTCCCTCTTTTGGTTTGGGTTTAAATCTCCCGTATTAAGTTAAAAGGTGTTGAATGCTTGAAGCTTTGACCTTGCCTGGGGAAGAAGCCAGTTTAGTGTTTTCTTGGACAGAGCTAAGCACCACTCATCGAATCACTAGATGCAGCAGAAGTAGCGAATGGAGCAGGGCCCCTTCCACAGAAAGAGCTCGCCAGATAACACAGACCACACAAGACCAGCAACCAAACACTTCCGGTCTCCCATGTTCAATTCCTTCTGCAACTGATCATTTATTCCATGGAAGGTCTTTAATCTTTTATGATTAGGCTTTTTTTTCCTTCTGACTATAGATAAAAATTGGATTTTCTCAGCTGACCTGAACAAGGGGGAATATATAGACCCTAGAATGATAGCTGGGAAGCCAGCATAGGACTGATCCTGATCCCTTGAATGTGGGTGTCAGTGAGGAGGCCTTGGCAATCTACAGGGCCTCTGGTAGTGGATCAGTATTTATCCCTAACACACAATGAACTTTGGGAGCCCATTCCACATAGAGGAATTCTCTGTCAGCCTAGACACATGGAGGAGGGCCTAGGCCATGCTCCCAAGGATATGACAGACTTTGAAGATCCCCCATGGAAGGCCTCAACCTCTCTGGGTAGCAAAAAGGGGATGGGATAAGGGGCTAGTAGGGGACGGAGAGGGAACTGGGATTGACATGTAAAACAAGTTTTATTCTAATTTAAATAGAAAAATAGAAAAATGTGTTTTCATTTTTTCAGTATTGAATCCAAATTTTTTAATAGATATAAAACACAAATTAACATGATCAATATCCATGGTGCTAGTATTAATAAACAGAAACCAGGAATCATATTCGTAAGGCAAACTTGTTGAATACATGCATGCATGTTTTTGTTCTGAATATCCTATTCATAATAAATTCTAAATATAGATCGCATTCAATGTCATGTATAATAATACTTCCGGTGCACTCAATATTGTGCAATGGGTAATATAAGCATATATTGTATTATTGTAAAGTACACCTAAGATCTAAGACTAATGGCAGTGCTTATGCCAAACACCATTGTAAGTACTCTCTGTACATTTAATCTTCATACACACAAAAGGGAAGGAAGGAAGAAAGAAAGAAAGAAAGAAAGAAAGAAGAAAGAGAAAAATTGAGAGAAAGCAGAATTGCAAATTTAATCTAGCCCTCAAGTCAGCTGAACTGTCTGCATATCCTTGCAATGGCATTTACTACCATTGACACTTGTGTGTGTTCATGGACACCAGACCCATTTTAATTCCCCCGAACTTCCTTCTCTGCATCTCAACCTGGTGACTCTTCCTTCTGTCTTTCTCCGGGCCATCCCCTAAAATGCATTTTTGGCACTTAATATATCACATTGTTGGATGTCTCCTTTCAAAAAGAAAGCTGTGACTAGAGAAAAAAAAACTGTCAGTAATTTGAAACAAGTGCATATGATTACATTAACAAGTAACTGTCTTTAAAAACTCATAGCCAAGTTAGTTCTACAGTTTGCAAATACACACATGTGGTAAGTCTTTTACTGAGTACGTAGAGTGACTTTGGATACTAACTTGTATGAGTGTCAAAAGGTCCATTAAGAGATGAGGGGGGGGGAAGAAAAGATAGATATTCATTTTTGGATTAATAGGTAAATGTAGTATAAAATTTAATTAAGAAACCAGTGACATTAATTTCTCCTAGCAGAATATTTCTGTGATATATTCATTTCCATTACTTTCAAATGTTAGCTACCCCAGGTACTTCTCTAGAATTTCCATCCATGCTCCATTTAAACTCTTCTGTCTGACTTTACTCTCATAAAGATCCTGAAATTTCTCTGGCCAAGGTTACTACTGTCTCCTCCATTTCAAGTTTGTACATGTTTTAAAACATTTGACTAATTGACTTGTCTCAGATAGTACATTAATTTATTCTATTTCTCAACCCCACATACAGTTCATTTTCTTGGGTTTCCTTTAATCACATTTTCTTATCTAATGACTACAATAAATACTCATTTACTATATGCAGTAGGTTACCCACTACTTGAGAAACTAGAGATAACAAATCAAACCAAATATGTACCCATGTGCAAGTTAATGATGTATAGAATCTATATCAACTGTATACTAAAACCTACTCATGGAAATCCCCCTCCCATTTATAAGCTCTTTATATTTATTTATTTATTTAAATAGTAGGTTGATCTTAATGATATAAACACTTGCTTTTAGTTACATTGCTACCAATAATTTTGAATTAGGCATACAGAGGTCTCAAACCCTAGATCTAATTCAAATACAACTCAAACCATGTATTCACTATAGTTGCTAAACATAACCAGTGGTAGAGTACATTTACAAGATCCCAGTGTTGCCATTTAAACCCCAGTGTTCCATATAATAGTAATACTGCCAGAAGTTGTTCTGGTGTTAAGATAGAAAGAGCAGAGTAAATTTTCAAATCACCTGACGAGTCATTAATGACTCTTCCTTATCCTCCCAATTTCTTGTTCATAGTCTGCCTCCAGGAGATTATCTCATCTCTAATTGCCATCTGATATTCCTTCTATTGGCTGGCTGTGCCACATGCAACCCCAAGTATCCAAACTATCAGTCATTTCTTTTTCTCATCTGTTAGCTCTTTGTATTATGTCTCTATGTATGTCACTATTGCTGTCATTTTTCAAGTCACTATGAGAGCAGTCAGTATTGAAATGTCAAGGTATTTTGAGGACATGATCCATGTTGTATTTATCACAATTTCCCCTATCATAGTAGAGACTCAATGCCCAAGAATGCTTATTGAGTGAAAAAACAATAAGTGGATGAATAGATTAGAATTAAGGGGAGTATAAATGAATATTTTATAATCAAAGGCCAGATTTGCTAGGAGTCATGTTGAGAACACAGAACATATGGAGAAGAGTAGCTTAGTAGAAAAGCAATCTTGGGAATAGAAAAGGAATTGAAAATGTCTGACTCTCAAGGGGAGTCAATTACTAGATATAATAAAGATGTAAGGATAAGTGTCAAACTGGAGAGAGAGCCCTCAGGAGACCAGTTGCCCTAATTCACATGCACACACAGGCATGTGTGTCTTAGCTCCTGTCTCTCAGAAACACGTGCAACATTTCTTCTGTGAATGACGGTTCTTGTCACTGGCCATCTGTGCTCTTACTTTATGCCTCAGGGAAAACACGCCGCCTATAGAGCCTGTTCACTGCCACTGTCTGGTTTTCACACCTTTGTGCTAACCTTCAATATGCTTTACTGGTTAATTGATGGAGGAAATGTATTCCCTATGGCCCAGCTCTTGAAAAATCAAACCAGCATATTCGCATGTCATGAGTCACAGGGACTGTTTTGCAAAGACAATACCATTACAGAAGTATGGAAAGAGTGAATCCGTTTTAAAAATAAGTGCTATCGTATGCACAACCATTTGAAATATGCATTAAGTTTTTGAGTAACTGTTCTACATAGGAAAGAAAAGCTTTCCTGCCACACTAAGGCAAACACTGAGCTATATTGTTCATTACCAAAATCTAAATGATCTAGTCTCCATTCACTGCCTCCAGCAGACTAGTCATCCAACAAGAGTAATTATTACAGCATGTAATATGGAATGGAGACTTACGAGAGTTCTGCAATTAAATATAAAAATTTGAATCTTTTGTTCATAATTACATTGATATTATAATAACAGATTAAAGAATACTGAACCTTGTTTTTTTGGCAAAAACACAGTATGTCACATTGGGAACTTCAGTAGTTTTTTTAATTGTAAACTTTCCCAAGTGCTTACTTCAATTTGACATGTTTTGGGGGAAGGAGAGTACTAGGGGTTGGCCCCAAGGCCACGCACATGCAAGACAAGCATGCTTCCACTGAGCTTCATCCCAACCTCCAGAACTGTTTTGTGATCTGAAACTAAGGCTCTTAATTGTCCGCTGGCCAATGTATATCTTTAGAAATAATTAAAGATTTCTGATGGAACTTTATTAGGTGCAGCTCGTATGTGAATTATGGAGAGGTAGCCAATAACATGTCTGAAATGTAGTTTTTTTCCTTTTCTTACAGCATGGGCCTGTCCATCCTATTTACATTTTGAAACATGTCAGACGTACATTTCTTTAAGATGTGTGTAGTTTCCACTTATCGTTATCTTCCTCTTGTTTCTCAGGTATTTTGCAATATGGATGTTAATGGGGGAGGCTGGACTGTAATACAACACCGTGAAGATGGAAGTCTGGATTTCCAAAGGGGCTGGAAAGAATATAAAATGGTAAGATGGAAAATTTGACAGTGCTTTTTCATGTGTTATCGTAAGGTTATCTTCACCCACAATATTTGATAAACCCTGACCTTCTAGATGCCTTTGAGTTATTTAAAAATAACAATTCTTACATTAAAGACATTATTTTCATTAGACACAAACTGATCATAAATCATGTTCAGTAAATTACTTCCCTATGTGCAATAGAGAGAAGAATGCATTATTATAATCATTTGGTGATCTATTGGGCACTTGTCTGCATTTGTTCCTAGCAGGAGAAACTAGAACCCCAACCAAGGCTGGGGACATGAACAGGAAAGGGAACTGTGTAGTGTCACAGGTCATGGAGCAAGGGGGATACTACCTAACTGTGTTGACCGCTGAATAGGAGAGGTCATAAACCTTTGTATATGACTAGCCTAGACTTCTCCTGGTGCAATGACCCGGAGTTGCCAGTTTTCTCTTGTCCAAGCCAGCATTTCCTAAGTGCAGAAGTGAATGCTTAGAGCCATTTTAAGTGAAGAAGTCTTCATTTATGAAGTGGTTTTCATTATTTTACAGTAAAATGTCTGGATAATTCTTGATTTGACTTTCTAACAATTCTTCTCTCCAGAAGTGAAAGGTAGAAAGTGATCAGAATGTCCTGTTAGCGAGAGTTCTGTCTTAGCTAACAATGCAAAACTTATGGTTGTTTGGTCACAGCCTACCCATTAAGTTCGTGGTTAACAACACTAAGCAAAGTGTTTAGGGAAAGAAATGGGGTCTCTTGTGCTGTTGCTGTTTATGTGGCATTTTGATAAGAATCTCAATGAGCACTCTGAATGCAAGCTAGTAGGGTGAAGTCACACAAATTTGAAATCTTGACTTTAAAACCTCATGAGTATAACATAAAAAATAGACCGAAGACAGCAAAATAGAATTCTACAGGTAGCTGTAGAATTCCACAGATAGAATAGAAGGTAAAGGTGGCAACTTGAATGTAAGTTTGACACATTTCATTGTGAGCTCAGTCTGTGTTGTCTGCTGTGAACAAGAATTAACACAGAGTACATCATTCATAAACTGTAAGTCACAAGCACCCATAATTCAGCAGGGACCACCACAGTCTTCATTATGTCATTAGAATGCGTACACTCTGCTTTGTATCCTGGAGGTTTTCAAACACACAGACTAGCCCGGAGTTTGCAAGCAGTATATTAGAATTCAAGGTAAAAAATGTCTAGAGAAATTGACTGCAATTGAGAATAAAGCTAGATATACAGATTCAAATCATTCTGACTTATACCACTTAAATTAACAGAAAAATCAATGTGAAATTGTCATCATACAGTTATCAAAAATGGTGAATTAGTATCTGTGAATATCTGTTTAACACACTAGGAGTATTGAGATATACTGCCTTGTTAGGTATGGAAGTGATTTATATCTTTTGAATATTTTACCAAATGGATCCATTTTTATACAGTTGCTTGGTTTTTTTAGTTATTGGAACAAGACAGGAATTATTTGTTAACCATTGGCATTTATTCCTCCCCCTTATTTTTAAATAAGAAAAGCCATCATGCTTTATTCAAGCTTGAAAAATTTGTCACCTCCGTGTCAATTATCTATGGTCAGAAAGTAAAATTAGTTCTGAATTTTTTAAACATTTGGGTAAAAATGAATATAAGGATTTTCTAAACTGAACAAATCCATTATATGTTAAGACTTGTATAATACCAAAGCACAGGGTTAGAAGTATTAGAGCTCTTTCAAAGACTGTCTATCACCTAAAAAAAAAAAAAAAAAAAAAACAAATTAGCCTGATTCCACCAAGAAAAGGTGTAGGTGGGTCTCTATCTGCTCCACCTACTCCTGCTCCCTGCATGCAGGACACTGGCTGCAAGCTTCCTGAGCTGAGCGTGAATACACTCACGTGTGTGCCCATGGCTCTTTCTCTCTTTCTTCAATAGTCTCCACTCTTGGGATGTTGAATATAGCCACGATCTTTGATCCCTCCCTTGTTGATGGCTGTCCCTCTGTCCTTTACTTCCTTCCAATTGGTATCTGTGTGCTGCCTCTTTCCAAATAGGTTTTCTAGAATTTTGTGTAAACGTCCTCCACCCAAGATATTACAAAGCATCTCTTTTTTTTTTTAAGTCCCTCCCATCATGGAGATTTCTCAGTACTTGATTCTCACCATTGGCTTTAGCCCTAAGGAAGACTTGTTTGAACTTTCTTGTCTCTTCACCCTTCCTCAGGAGGAAATCCAGCAAATCTGGTTTACAGACTTGTAAAGACATTTACTGCTTAGAGGGAAGTCTGAGGTAGTTCTTCTAATGGGGCACTTAGGGACTATGAGGACACCACAGTCACTGACAATCCTTTTGCAAATAGCCAGTGAACCAGAGTCTCCACAACTTCTCTCAGTGGCAGCTTTATGAGGGGCAGTCACTATCTCCCCAGGGACAAATGGTTTGTTTTGAAGACAATTATCCCTATAAGCAGAGCTTCCTATTGAAACAAACATTTCCTTGAGAGCACCCAGGTACTTCCTGGGAGTTCTTGTTTCTGGAAAGAAATTAAAAGCATCTTTTAACTTGCATTTCCGCATGTGCATATTGAAAATAATACACAAGAAACTAAAATTCTTTCAGTCAAAATTTCTTCTCATCTTTCTTGGACTTTGTGTCTCAGCCATGGAAGGAGATACTTCTAAGATGAGCTCTAACTGGGAGGAAGGAAGGAAAGAAAGAAAAAAAGAAAAGAAACCCTTTGGAAACCCAGCCTTATCTGTTTTTTTAAATAATTTTCATGAAAGAAAGATAAAGCCCATAGGATACAAGGACTGTGTCTGGTTTCAATTTTGTTTCTTCTATAAAAAGTCAACACTTCCTGTGAGCATTATCAGACAAAACAAATAAAGTATCAGAGACAATTATTTTATTAACTTGGAGAAAGTACAAGCTGAAACTGAACATTTCTTCGGGTTTTGGCAAAATTAATGAATATTGGTCCTTTCCTCTCCCTGTATTTTAAAAGTGTAATGTGACTCTTGAGGCCAATTTGAAGTCAGCATTGTTTTCATTTAAATTCCAGTGCTCCCCTTTTATTAAACTACTGGAAGACAAATGAAATTAATCAGGAGTCAACCTGATTCATGGCATCGAAGTTCTTTATGCAATTATGACTGAGATAACTGAATATACTCATTTATGTATGGAATAGAATCCTTGCATTTTATTCACAATGGAAAAATCTATTCCTTTTACTAGTATTTGTTTATCTCTGCCTCCTTAACATCAGAACAGAACGCTGCTTATGAGTTTCATTTTTTATGATTTGTACAGGGTACTTATAAGTTTTTATATCTAAAAACATATAAAAATCCTTTCAAGCTATGCACTACTATATTTTATGCACAACCTTAATTTTTTCCTGTTAGTCCCACAATGAAAAGTTGCCTTCTGGTTCAGACCGTGGCAAAGATGCGTTTTCATGCCTCCTTTATTCAGATAATTTTACCTGGTTAATACATTGTTCCTAATTTGTACATAGTTATTTATTGTTGTATTTATATGAATTTCTACAGTGAGAGGAACTGTTTAGAATATCTGAAGTGGACCTAAAGATCAGTATATTCAATCTATATATGCGTGGGAAGAGTATTTCATCTGTATTTATAAGTAGTAACACCCCCATTCTTCAGTCGGATACTCACTTCAAGTAAAGAAACCATCAGAATTATCAATTAGTTAGCGATGTGGTTACATGAACTTAAAATTTCCTCTCCTAGATCTTAAAGCACATGAGATAAAAGGGAAGACAAAGATGGAGATAACTGGGTTAAAGGGGAGGAAGAGGAGACAGGTACTCTCCTATTAAGATGTGTTGATTCAAAGAGACAACTCTGACCTCAAAGGGGATAAGAGACGGTCTGTTTGGCTTGGGATCCACGGCTTGGGAACAGAGATTTAGGTTACCACAAATTCCATGTTCCACCCTGGAAGCCATTTCATGAAGTTTTTATAGTACCCGAACAAAGAAGCTCATAGATCAAGGCATAGTATGAACACATGAGTAGAAGCATCAGAAAGGAGGATGAGTCTACTGTAGGCCTGAGACGCTGTGTTAGCATTGTTAGCCTTTGGACTGATGGAAACTAGGGCTTTTTACCTATTAGTCACAGGACATTAGGTGTCACAGAACTGGGTAAGACATGGCTATTTGGAGGGCTAAAGATGGCTCAAGATAAACTGTAATTAGGCTCTGGACCTCCAACACCACAAGCTCTCCACTGTCACTAATGTCCTAATCAGTTAATCAGCCTTGCTAAGGGTTCAGCCTGAAGATTTAGCTTCATTCTGGGAACTTCTGTTCATGGGTGAGGAGGGGTGATCATTTTCTTTTGTTCTGTTGTGACACACAGAAGCCCCATTTGTGCGAACAGTTGGTTTTGAGTTTTCATTTCTTAATTGAGATCCTGGGTTAAAATAACAACATTTGTTCCTCAAAGCAACACTCAGCTTCATGTCTAAAAGCCTGCTGACTAATGAATGCTACTGATATACGTAGTACTTTTCAGCCAACACAAGACCCTGGGATACTTACACCGTACAAAGTAGGAGAGAACTTACCTCCCTCAAATAGCTTGCCATCTTACAGAAGAAAACCAAAAAGCTAAACACGACTGTGTAACATGACAGAACTTCTCATCAGGTTTTTTTCTTCAGTGTTTTTCATGTATCAATGCTCAGATGACTTGGCTAATTTTCATTCTTATAACACTGGGCATGGAAATATTTTTAACCATCTCTTCTGCAGGTGGAGAAACAGAGTCCTTTAAGGGAAGTAAGAAAGTTCCACTGAAAATGTGTCATAAAGAGACATAGCAGAGATGAGTGGAGGAGTTCCCTAATCCAAGCCAACCCTTTGTTCCCCCACATCAGATACATGGGTGTGACTGATAAGCTACCCAACAGCTTACTAATGTGGGAACCCATTTCCACTCCCCACTCTTGGCTATCTGTCATCTTCATGATGGTGAAACAGTTGTCTCTGCTCTACTGCACTTGGCCATTAGACCATTTCCTCCCTCCACTATCTCTCCAACAGCCGTGTTGGTTACTGTAGTCAAACATTTTGCTCATTTAGACAGTTTTTTCTTGGGGGGGGGTTGGCGTGCATCAACTGAGAAATTTGGTATCTGGCTGCAAACTTCCAGTGTTTTCCCATTTGGTTGCTTCCCTCAAAAGAAAAGAAAAGTCAAGTGTTCAGCGAATATCACTTTGTCTTCGCTGGTGTTCCTCCAGACCTGCAGCACGCCGAGAGGGAGCGAGCACGGGCTTTTGGAGGAATGGCTCTCTTGTTTGTCCGCTTCTGAGGCTCCCCCGGGATCAGTGCTCTTTCCCCCGGGGAAGCTGGAGAGTTTTATCCACACAACACTTTGAACAGCATGGAAATATGTGATCCAAGACTTTACACTTCATCATTCCCAGCCTCTGCACTCATATGTAATATGACTGCTGAAGCCTCGTTTCAGTGCCGCGTGGCATAGGGACTTGTCGAGTTGGCTAGAGGGACAGCTCTGGCTGGTCTGAGCTGGAAATTGCAAAGGAAATTCCCAGGGGTCCTCCTTGTCTTTCAAGCAGTTGCTGAAGTTGAAGAGTGCTAACTCGGAGTTTTGGCCCCCTGTAACTTTCCATTCTGTGCATGCAGGGAAACTTTGGACTTCTTAGCATGTAGTGCTTGCTCCTGAGAGATGCTGTAAAATCCTTAGCACATCTTAAAAATTGCCGATATTTTCTGCTACTGCGGTGATTCCACCAAGTGTGGCCTGAGTATCTTACTAGTAGGGAAGTAAAATGTAAGGGCTGGAATTAAAACCCCCAGAACCCACATAAGTGCACTGTGATATGTTGGTATTGTGACAGCAGGCCTGTCAGAAAGGGATTTGATACCAAATACTTCTGGTTGTTGGAAAGTAGTTCTATTGGGGCAGAGGCAATGGAACAAATTTAGAGAATTATTGGTCATACTGAGCACCTGTATATTCTAAAAGAGAAATAGGGGACATTGATTCATTTCTTAGGCTGGTTAATGGAGGAAAAATTAAGGAAACATCTATTATACTTCAAATTGATATTGGAAGAGAAATAAACATTTTCCATATTTTACCACCTGTGTTGAGACAATCAGTGCTGCTGTAATTATAATACTTCTTCACACTGCTATGCACAGATTAACCGTCCATTACTAAATGCCTCAATTAACCATGGTCAATTTCTTCATAAAGCAACCACGTGTATATCCTGTGACCTTTTTAATGTTGGCGTGTGTAAGCATGATTGGGGCGTCTGTCCAGATTTGGGATTGTGAGGAATGTTCTCACACACTACGTGTGGAAGCTGACACTTTTATTTTTACCAGGTCTTGGTGGTGTGGCCGAGACTCTCTGGATATCAGTGCAACCCGCTCTAACATTCTGTCCTTCCGCGTCTCTCCTTCCCTTCTTTCTCTCAACGTCTGTAAAACGTATGTGCCACTTACTCATTAGTGTCTGAGAGGTCACAGATGTAGCGTGACTGCTATTGCTAGGGGCTCAAAACGGCTTCAATAGACAAATGTGTACATAGGAAATGAAACTGGTCATCAGGTGTTCACCAAGGAAGTGCTTGCTGAATAACTGAAATGCCCCAAATCTATCTATATCTTCAATATTAGGAATCAGCTTTGTGGGATCCTCTCTCTCCCTCTCCCTCGCCCTCTCTCTCTCCCTCTCTCTCTCTCACACACACACACACACACACAATGAGGTTATCTAAAGTCCGCTCGGTTACTCACTAGCCCTTATTAGTTGCCCTTCTGCATCCAAACCCAAGTCTTTTCCAATGAAGAATCTAAGTGATAACATCCATTGCTTTCTAGACTTGACTTTTAAAATTAACTATGAGGTCACCAGAAAATTGAAACATCTGTAAAATTAAAGTATAATTGGGCTCCTGCATAATGATGGCAATTAAGTAACTATTAAATAAGGGGAAATATCCTGGTAATGTTCATTAGAAAATTCAAACTAAATTGAAAATATCAACTCAGTTTTTTAAAAATTGTCTAAAAGAAGTTTGAAATTGAGAGTTATTTTTTGGTTATTCCTACCGACAAGATGTATTAACCCAAGGATGTCAAAATAAAGAGGTTTTGGGGATAAGAATTAGAAGTCAACTTCATTGGAGTAAAAAAAAAATAGAAGAGTACTAGAATAAGTTAGGAATTGAAACAGAGTGTAAAAGATAAACAAAGCTATCTTTAAAAGATAATTTGTCCTTGTTACTTAGAAAATAGATTTGCAAATGACCAAGTTCCCTCTGGAGTAACACATGCGTGTCTCTCTTCTTTCCCAGGGCTTTGGGAATCCCTCTGGTGAATATTGGCTGGGAAATGAGTTTATTTTTGCCATCACCAGTCAAAGGCAGTACACGCTGAGGATTGAACTGATGGACTGGGAAGGGAACCGAGCCTACTCCCAGTACGACAGATTCCACATAGGAAACGAAAAGCAGAACTATAGGTAAGCTGCATTCAGAACCGCAACCGGCAGTCTTTGACTTTACCACCAAGGAGCTTCATTTAAGAAGCAGGAGGTAATGTAGATGCTGCCGGACAATCTGACAACGAAAATTCAGCTTGTTTGTGTAGGCCTATGGTGACGAGATAGAGAAAACCCTGAGAGGCCTTCTCACAGGCTTCAATGTTAGTCTCTTGTTTCATTTATTTTATATTCCAACCGAAGTTTCCCCTCCCGGCCTCCCCCCTGCCACCCGCCCCTCCTCTATTCAGAGAAAAGGAGACCTTGAGTGGATATCAACAAAACGTGGCCTATCGAGTTGCAGTAAGACTAAGTACCTTGCCTTGTGTGAAGTCTGGGCAAGGGGATTCAGTATGAGGAGTAGGGGCACAGAAGTTGGTAACAGAGTCAGAGACAGTCCCGGCTCCCACTATCAGGAGTCTCTCAAGAAGACCAAGTTATACAATTGTAACATCCAGGCAGAGGGCCTAGGTCAGTTCCGTGAAAGCTCCCTGATTGTCACTTCAGCGTCTATGAGACCCTATGAGTCCAGGTTATTTGATTCTGTGGGTTTTCTTGTGATGTCCTTGACGTCTCTGACTCCTAGAAATCCTCCCTCCGTCTCTTCATCAGGATTCCCTGAGTTAATGTTTGGCCTTGGGTCTCTGCATCTGTTTCCATCAGTTTCTGGGTGAAGCCTCTCCGATGACAATGGGCAAGGCACCGATCTAGAACTACAGCAGAATATTAGGCATCATTACAATGACATTTCTTTTCCCTCTAGTCATGTTTGACTCTATGCAAGGTCTCCGGGAAATCCAGCCTCTGGATCCTGACACTCCAGGCAGTGTGTTTGTATGGTCCCTCTCGTGTCATGGGTCTCAGAGATTGACACTTTAGTGTTGGCTCAGTCCGAGAGGATACTGAGTTCCCTGAGGCACGCGTGACTAAGCCGTAATTGCTATGACAGTGTGGTGGCTTCATACATCTAAGAATGATACCAGAAACTATGCGACTCAATGCCGCCTAACAACCTACTCTTTCTAACAAAAGATCTTAAGGTTTTTATCTCCTTTACTTTTGTTAAATTTTAATTATTCAAATGACCTGCAGTGTAACTAGAGGAAACCTTTATATTTCCAAGTGATTTGCATCAGAAGAGACTGCATTATCAGAAGGATTTTTTAAAAAAAAACATACACTGCAGAAAGAAATCTAAATGATGAAGGCCTTACATATACAATAGCTTGTGAAAGTAGACAAACTAAAATGCTAATTTCAATTGGCTCTGATTATTTTCCCAAGGAGCAGCTCTTAGCTCAGGAAAAATGAAAACTATGGCTACTGAGCTATTATAAATTTATTCCTCAAACATTTGCCGTGTTACTATTGTGTTCTAAGATCAGGATCAGGCACTGGCCATTCTCAGTTAGTCTCACAGACCTCATAGTGAGGCTTTGTGGCAAACAGCTCCTAAAATCCTGGTTAGCATCTCGTGAGACCAGGAGCCTCCTGTAGTTGATGTCATTTCATGACCTAGCACTACATCACTCATCACACAACAGATCCTTAATTGCAAGTGCCTTGATTTCATAACGGTAAAGAGCACTTGGGATGTCTTCTGAGTCTCAACATTCCCCATCTGTTTTGCAAGCATAATAGTGAGCATCAAACGGGTGACACATGGCTGCATGTAACACAATGCTACCAAACAAAGCCGTGTAGGTATTTTTTTTTTCCATTCAATGTGGCTGGCTGTGTCCTCGGAGATCAACTATTTCTGATTATTGTTTGTCTTTTTGATACATAACAATCTTTGGGAACTAAGACTGCATTTTTAACGGCACGAATCGTGTTCAGACATGTATGATTAGAGCCTTGGAGATATAATAATCATTTTCTTAACAAATATTGACGACGTCGCATAATGGAGGATGAGGAATAGATCTAAAATGTAGAAGTTTCAGGGTGGGAGCCATGGTATGCTTAATGGCAGCTCCAGAAATGGAAGAAGAGACATTTATAAAATCAAAGGAGTATAAGAAGAAATGTTTTTAAGGAGCCAGTATCTTGAGAGTTTTGAAATAAGAAAAACCACTGTAAAACATCAGGGATACTCTTACGTAAATGTTTTGATCTGAAACTTGAAACTATATGAAACTTGGCTAATGTCAGACAGCTTGACAATAGAACTAGCAAGTAATTAGTCTAATCTTTTTCTAGGCTTCTGAAGAATTTGCCCTGGTTCCTTTCCAATGCCGCTCGGGTTGCTGTAGGCCATTGTGGTAGAGGGGCTTGAGAGTGTGTGTGTGTGTGTGCGCGCGCGCGCGTGCATGCGTGCGTGCGTGCAGTTGGGTAGTCTTTGGTGGATACAGTTAGCTTGAGATAGCTGGCATCTTCAAGGCTTCTGGTGTCAAGCATTCATTACTCTTGTTCATGAATGCAGGAGCACTGGCCTTGTGGTAGAGCTCACCACACAACCTTTATTAACGACTCCATCAGCTTTTGGTATCTATGATTCTTCTGGCCACATGTCTTTCACACATGCGATACAGAGCTATGGTAAATATGAGGTCTTCCTAGCTTTGGGACTGTGTTCACTACAGGACTTCTTTCATGAAAGATGTCTGAAACTTGAGAATCAGGTTTACCAATATAGGACTGGGATTTAATTTAATACTTATGGTTTTAAAGTGGGGAGAGGGGAAGCTAAGAAGTACACTATTTTTCTCAAGGATGGAGAGGCATTTTTTTTACTATTATCTTTTTCATGGTGGTTGCTCTGATCATATTGCTATAGCAAAGTGGGTAGTTCTGACTGTCTCTCTTACCATGGCCGAATGAAAGCCAGATCTGCCATAATTGCCTCTCACAGAATCGAGTGTACAGGATTCTTATTTTCATCAAACAGGAAAATGTGATGCATTCAATCAAAAGCCTGCTTTGGTAGACAGCTATAAAGTAACTATGCCATAGAAGATACTACTCACCCCCCACCAAAGACTATTAGCTTGAATGTAAAAGGTTTCCCATAGACTCTTGTGTTTTGGTGCCAAGATGATGGCTCTGGTTTAGAGGGTAGCAGAGCTTTTAGGAGGCTTCACGGGATGACGTGGGTGACTCAACAATGGGCCTTGAGCCTTTCTAGCCTGGCTCCACTTTCCATGTGCTCTCTGATCCTGACTGAAGATGCTACATGACCAGACACCTCAGATGACCACTGTCGTGCTTTCTCCTTCTTGATAGACTGGCTGTACCACTTCATTTTATGTCTGTAGGGGTCTAGTCTGTGTGGATGTATGTATGTCGGTGCACCCCATGCATGGCTGGCATCCAGAAAAAAGAAATCAGATCCACGGGAATTGGAGTTACAGTTGGTTCTTAGCACCGTGTGCTTGCTGGAATTGAACCCAGGTCCTCTGCAAGAGCAGTCAATGCTCTTAACTACTGAACCATCCCTCCAGCCCCTGTAGTGCTTCTTAAACGATGGGCAAAAACAAACCCTCCATTACCAGAGTTCACTTTTATCAGGTGTTTTACCCAACAATGTGAAAATTAGCCTATACCCTGGAAGAAAAGCTTATATAGAAAAGCCAAGGGAGGCTTCTCTCCCCATTCATGCTTTGAATTAAATTTACAGGGTTTTCTTTTACAGATGCTGTTAAGTGAAATAGTACCATCACTTTCCCCTTCCCTCTCCTCCCTTCAGCCTCTCCCAGCTACTCTCATTTGAACCCCTCCACTCTGAAGTTAATGACCTGTTTTACTTTCAGTATACTTGTATGCATGCACATGTGCACATGCACGCACACACACACACAAATTTGTGTAGGCACAAATATGTGTGTGTAGAAGCTGTTGAGCCTGTTTTTGTTGTTTACATGTATAAGGTCTCAAAGCACCAAACAGCCAATAAGCGGGCTCATTTTTAGAAAAGGCTAACTTCCCAAGAGTGAATAGTTGCATGCAGTTCTTAAAAAAATTTTATTCTGAAAATGCCTTTAGTTATAGTCACCGTCATTATTTTAAAACTGAAAACCCGCCCTTGTGTTCTTGACATATACTGTTTAAAACCAAGTGTTGCAAATGGACAGATTAGCTTAGAGATGTGCATATACTATATATATTTCCCTTTTATCCTCCAAGGAAGCTTCTCAGATGAAAATGAAATTCACAGAACCCAAGAGAACATGAATCAGAAGAAATAATAATGTAGAAGTGTCATGATAAACATATCATGTGGGATAGCACACAATCAATGTGAAATTATTAAGCACTCCCCTAGGGGGGTGGTATTATCCATGTCCTCGTCATCTAACACCCAGGCTATTGTACAGTTTCCCTGCCTCTAGCCTTGCTACTCTCAAATATTTCTTTTCCACTATAGCTGGAATGATTTTTCAATAGACATTGCATTTTGTATTTATCCTTTTACATAGATGTGGACAGTATTTTAATATCTGCAAGTGAAGTCCACCATTAAACACGTCCATACTTCTTGTCACTACTAACAAAACTCCAGTGGATGTTACCAGCCTTCCACAATTCGATGCGTTCCTCACTGTGACAGTGTTTCAGTGACGGTTGTAAGTTTCCTAAAACCTTCCTGCCTTGTTGGTGCTATATCCATGTCATGCATATGTAAACCAACTTTATTATATGGATATATTTTCTACAATTCAGATTCTGTCTTAAGGGAGGATATCATCACCCCCAGACCTTCCCTAGAAAATGCTGTGGCGTGCTAGCCCATTGTTCCCTTGAGATCTGGGTCACTCTTCCTAACCTCCTGGGGATGTTGGTGGCAGACTGCTTACAGCTGATGCTCCCTCTCTAAGTATTGCTGTGGCCAAGAGAAGTCACGTCATCCAAGGTCTATCCTCCTTTCAATAGAAAATTATGATCAGTTACTAGCCAACAGACGAGTGTGAAAACCCCCCTGTCCCCATTCAAGGACAAGGTGTACAATCTCCTTACTGTGCCTTGGTTTTAGGACTACATCT